CTCCAGATGGCTTGTCTCCACCAGAGTGAGAAAGAATAAAATGTTTCTGTTTGCTTACAATTCTTCATAGAAAAAACCAATGTACTATATAACAATTATTGATATGTTTCATAACTGAGCTTAACCGGTTAATTAGCTTCATATTAGAGCTTCCACCAAACTTTTCATCTGCCTTTCTGGGCACAAGAAGGGTTTACCTACAACAAGTTCCACCCTCTCCAGATGGCTTGTCTCCACCATCTCGTTGGCCTATGAACTCCAACACAAGTCTCCACCTGAGGGATTGCGTGCTCACTCTACTAGAGCTGTTGCATCTTCCACAGCCCTAATGCGCGGTGTGGATGTTCCCGAGATCTGCAGGGCTGCCACATGGTCAAATGTCTCAATATTTATTACTCATTACAGACTTGACCTCAGAGCCAAACGGGAGACGAGTTTTGGGACAGCGGTACTAACTTCTGTTCTCCAGTGACATCCCACCATCCGGTAAGTAAGCTTGCCAATCACCCTTTTGTGTGCATTCGATGAAGACCACGATGAAGAAAGAAAGGTTACTTACCTGTAACCATGGTTCTTCAAGTGGTCATTCTGTGAATTCACACAATCCCACCCGGCCTCCCCTCTATCTGTCACTGTTTTTGTCTACCTCATGCTCAGGTACCTGTGGCGGATAAATGGAACTGAGGCTTGGGTGGCAATCAATCAATAAATAGACGCAGAACAATTAGCTGTTATTGAGTTGACTGACAGCAGCCCCAGTCCAGAAAATTCTACCCCCGAGTCAGAATCTCTCAAAGTGATCATGTGTACTGTAGGTTGCAATATATTGAACAGATCCCACAAGCAATATTGATGGTTCTGTTGGCTCAACCATCAGCCATAACCCCAATATCAGCCTTGCATTCTCTTAATTCTGCTGATTTGCCCTTCGTGATTTTGGCCATTCTGCTCACGCCAACTCCACCAACAATTGTCCCCTCAGTTTTGGTCACTCTGGTTCAATTAGCTCCTTTAATTTTGATATTCTGGCTCTGAAATAATTTCTTCTATTTGATTTGGATGTGTACTGTAGGTTGCAATATATTGAACAGATCCCACAAGCAATATTGATGGTTCTGTTGGCTCAACCATCAGCCATAACCCCAATATCAGCCTTGCATTCTCTTCTGCTGATTTGCCCTTCGTGATTTTGGCCATTCTGCTCACGCCAACTCCACCAACAATTGTCCCCTCAGTTTTGGTCACTCTGGTTCAATTAGCTCCTTTAATTTTGATATTCTGGCTCTGAAATAATTTCTTCTATTTGATTTGGTCATGGCAACATCGGCTCAATTGCACTGATCATGGACTTCTCTCTACTGGCTTCACTCTAGCTCGATTCCACTAGCTACCAGTTCAAGAGAGGCACCAGCTCCTTTTTCCTGATCCCACACCAATTGTATCTGCCCATCACAACCATTCTCTATTGAAACAACCATCCCTGGCAGATTAGGTTTTTTCCCCCCTTGGATTGACTTCTGGCACTGCTTCTATTGCTTCTCCTGTAGAAGTGCCACAAAATCCATGCTCCTCATGTCCACCATCTGAACAGGACACCCAGAGACCTTTCTAGATCTCTGACTTCTGATTTCCCTTGCTCCACTCACAGCTGGTATTGTCACTCTAGATCTCTGTATGAGAGGTACCACTACCCACACTACTCCTCACTAATAAAACAGTCTCGGCAGAAACCTTCTTCAATCATGCCAACCTTGCACATCAAGAATTTCTATGGTGTGCAGGGGGAAGGTGCATCTTTTCCTATGAATTATCCCTCTCCAAACACAATCATTGTGACATTTGTCCACTACTATATCCTTTCCAAGGCTCCTAGGCCTGATGGCTTCCACCATATACCATAGCCTTTACACCTTGGGCCCACATAAGCTTATGACCTATCTTGCATTAGTATTTCAGAGCATTCAATTGTCTGACCCAGCACAATTCAATGCAGTTATCATCTCCACCCCCAATCCAACATCTATGCTGGATGTATGTGTCCAATTTGATTAGGCATACACCTTTCAGATTCTCCCCACCTTCAGTAATGCTCACTATGGATGCCTGTGTTAAGAGCTGGAGAGCACACGGCCAAGGTCTTTGCATCCAAACTGCTTGGTCACCTCAGGAACCACTATCCACATCAACATTCTATAGCTCTTCATAGCCCTAAATGCTTTCCAGCAATTACTTCATGAGAAAATGGTCCAAGATGCAACTGACAACATGACTGTCATGTGTTACCAAAATGAGTTAGCCAATACACATTTATCTGTTCTACTCTGCCTTACTCTTTAGCTCTGAATGTAATGTATCACCAATGTCATACATCCTATGGCAGCGCACCTCACTATTTTCAACAAAATCCTTCAGACATATCCTCGGCAGAACCAGTCATGACCCAAGAGTGGAGATCAATCAATATCACCAATGCCATTCATCCTATGGCAGCGCATCTCACTATTTTCAACAAAATCCTTACAGACATATCCTCGGCAGAAACAGTCATGACCCAAGAGTGGAGATCAATCAAGATGTCTTCAACATGCTTGTAGAGTGCTGGGGCACATCTGTCAGATACATGTTCACCACTAGAGATGGGCTCAAACCTCAGTTCAGAGGTTCATACTGGTTCGTACATGTGGCACCTGGTGCCACATGTTCTCTTCCCCAGCCTCCCCAATCAATGCCCTACTTGCCAGCTGGAGCACACTCTTCTCCTCCGTCTGTTCAACCAGACCCCAGCACGAGTACAGGCTTGCCTGCCTGCCCATCTCCTTGTATGAGTGGGCAATCAGCCAAGGAGGCTGAGCACAGAAGCTAAGGCTCCTGCCAAAGAGGAGGAGATGAGCACACACTGGCTGGTGAGGGGGGAAATTCAGCCAGAGTGGTGAGGGGAAGTGAATGCATAGCACCTGTGTTGCCACACTTACGAACCAGCGCAAACCTCTGAACCAAAGTTCTTGCCCATCTCTATTCACCACTGCTCAAAACATCAAGTGCCCAAGATTTTGCAGCAGGGCAGGTGTCAGAAGTTAATGGTACACAAGGCCTGCAATACATTATTTCTTCCAGTCCTTCTCATTCTAAGGCTACATCTACATAGAGGCCATATTGATAACACCCTGGTAGCCAAGGCTTTTCACCACTCCACCAGCTACCCAGACAATGGTTCATCTGTCCCCAAACAGATTAGACCTCATCCACCAGTCCAAAGGATGAGTTTGGCATCCAGACCTCTCATCCCTTCATCTAACAGCATGGAAAATTTGACCACCGTGTGCTTAAGGATGTCAACCAGGTTCTTCAAGTGGTTAGGAAATTCACCACCTGGAAAGCATACAGACCAAAGTCACAGATTTTTACTACATTTGCCAAACAACAAGGTTTTTCTCCACTCACATGTTCCATCAATAAAATCTTACACATGAGAGACAGGGGTTTATCCTACTCCATCAGAAAGGTATATCTTTCTTCCGCCTTCCCATTCCAAGCAGTGAACACATGCAGGTCTCCCTCTTTACTGATGCTATGGTCAAACTTTTTTGAAAGCCCTCAAAAATTTAGTTTCCATGGCTCACCCTCCCACACCTTCTTGGGCTCTTACACAAGGAGATTCATGCAACCTCTGTTTGAGCCTTTGGCCTCTTACTCACTACATCTACTTATCTAGTGGCATTCCTAGTGATGGCATTCCTAGTGATCATTACCTTTGTGCTATATGTTCTGACACACTTGACCTTATTTGTTTATGTGGACAAAGTAATTCTCCATCCTGATGTCTCCTTTCTTCCTATGGTCATCTCTTCCTTTCACCTAAACGATGATGTGGTGTGACTGGCCTTCTTCTGCAACCCCACCTCACTTCTCAAGAGGACAAGTCCCATGCTGGATGTCAGACACACGGTAGTGTTTTAATTGTCATGCATTCAATCATTCCACAAATCATCTCTTCTTTTGTTATAGTTCCCACAAGAAAAGACTTTCCTTTCATTTCCAAAGATCTGCCCAAACGCATTCTGGGTAGCTGAATGCATTTATCTACCCTACAACTTTGCTGGCATGTCCCCATCCCCTCAGGGTGTCATTTTACCAGATCTTTAGCTGCATCTTCCACAGCCCTCTGAGGTGTGGTGCTACCAGACAGCTGTAAGGCTGCCACCTGTTCCCAACCCTCTACATTAATCAAACATGAGACTGGGTGATTGTGTGAGGAATGAAAGCAGATTTGGGAGAGCCATGTTGTCTGTCTTAATGCAGTGATGCTACCTCCTCTGGTAAGTCGGTTTTCAGTCTCCCATCAATGTGATCCACAGAGACCACCTATAATTGTGGTTCTTCAAGTGGGGTTACACTACCTACCTTCTTTCCCTTTGGTGGATGGAAACTGGTGTGATCCACAGAGACCACAAAGGAGAATGGCAGGTTACCTACCTATAATTGTGGTTCTTCAAGTAGGGTTACACTACCCACCTTCTTTCCCTTTGGTGGATGGAAACTGAGGGACTAGGACTGGGCATAGTTATAGATGCCTCCAGGAGGGTGTGTGGGGTTACCACCAAAATACTATTACTCACCTTTTGAGGGTTGTGAACAAACTCTGTGCAGGCACAGATAACCCATCAGTGTGACTCCACAGAAGACCACTTAAATAACCATAGTTACAGGTAGGCAACCTGTCGTTTATATATGTGTATGGAAAACATACTTCTTTGTGCAGCCGTTCCCTAGATTGTCCAGCCTAACATTTATCCCACACCTTGCAGAAATATTCTAAATTAATTACTATAGTTTGTGTTTGTATATTTTACATAGTATATTGTCTTTGTATTTTGTATATTTTATTGTTGTACATTACTTAGAAATTTCTGAATCTAACATGTTTATAAATACATGTGAATAATACATGAATAAGAATTAGCTCACACTGAGACTTGTCCATTTCCTCCCTTGTGTTCCAGCATATAATGATAAAATTGTTGCATTTTTACGCCAACCCAACATTTTTGAAATGCTGCAGGAGCGCCAGCCAAGTTTGGCAAGAAACCATGCACTCAGGTACTGAATTGCCTAACTACGTTACTTAATACTATTGGTACAGGTGACCCGGGAGGGCCAATAAGTCAAAAGGAACTTTGCAATCATAGGTTGCTTCACTGGCATGTCTTCTTAAAGAGCAGCCCAGGAAAGTTCTCTGTTACAAACATATTTGTACTGAGAGAATTACTGATTGCCAATACTGACCTGGTTAACTTTAGATAATGGCAAAATACTATGGACTAAAAACATGATGTGACAGGACAGCCCTCATCCTGAATACACCAATTAACATCTTGTTCTTTGTAGTGGTCTCTGTATGCACACAAATGGGTTTTCCTGCGCCTGCGCAGGAACATCCGGAAGAGTCTAGAGCTTAAGAAAAAAGAGTCAATTAGCTCCCCCCTGTGGCGTATACAAGCCCCGCCTCCTCCATCTTCCTTTCAGTTCCTCTTTTTCTGCCATTCCTGTAGGACGTAGGAAGAGCAGAGCTATCGATCATTAAGTACTAGCTAGCTAGCTATCCTTTTTTCTCGCTAATTATTCCTTTTATTTTACTTTAACGGTTATTCGACAGAACCTGCTATATTGAGTTGCTTATTTTTCTGTTCTGTCACGTTTCCCCTCCCCCTGATCGACGATCCCCCCTTTTTTCTTTGTTTATGGCTCCTCGGGGCTTCAAGCAGTGTGTCGTCTGCTCGCAAAAATTTCCTTTATCAGACGGACATGATAAATGCTTGTTTTGTCTTGGAGAATCACATCAGGATTAGTCTTGCTCTGCTTGCAAAGGTTTTTCAAAGCAAGCAATTAAGTTGAGGCGCCAAAGACTTCAAGCTTTCCTTCACGAAAAGACTCTGTCTCCAAACATGGAAAGCGGCTCCCTCACAGCACTGTCCCCTCCGCGTGCTGAAGCTTCTAAGCAGGACTCTTCGGCAGACCAACCGTTGCTTACCGTCTCTGGGCAAGTTAAGGCTAAGGATGGTTCCAAACCGCCTTCTCGCTCTGCGAAAAAGAAGGCTACCGATAAGCCTAAGAGAGCAAAGAAACCAGCTAAGTTGCCTGTTGTACCTCCTCCCACTTCTTCGATATTGCTCGAGGAGTCTTCGAGGGAAGCAATTGGACTCTGATGCAGAGGAGCACGTTCCTTTAGCCCAGACGGCTCAGGAACATATGTGCATGTTACCAAACTCGGGCTGATTTGAGGCTGAGCCAGATGCCAGACGCCAGCCAGGCTGTTGCCCATCCAAGCCCTCGATACTCAGGGCGGGCTGATACTGAGTCTCCATCTGAACAGGAGTCTGATCATGAAACTCCTAGGAAGCGTACCGCGAAGCTCAAAAATATCACTCCGTACCAGCCTCAGGATGGAGGCGATGAGTACCGTCCGCAAGGACTACCACAGTTTGGCCACTCTTTTCATGCTCCATTCCAACCATGTCCGTACCCAGGCTATGCCTACCAGCCGGAGCCTCAGGCACAAGTACCGTGGCACCATTCTATACCTCAACCACTATCTTGCAAGAGGCAATTTCCTCTGGTACCTACAGCACTTCCCAAGCGTGCTAAGTACAGTAGTGGACACTCTTTGGTTACTACAGTAGTGGACAATGCTCTACTCTGGTCCTGATGCCCACGATACCATACCCTTCTCCCAGTCCACCCAATCGGATGTGGAGATGGCTCCAGAAGACACAGTACCAAGGTGTTCTCCTTCACTCGTCTCACAGTCATCTAATCCATCTATGGTGTCCAGCAACTCTGATGCCCCTGATACTGTTGCCCAAGGCTTGTCATCTCAGCCCTCATCAGAGGACTTATCATCCTCTGCACAGCTTATTATGCGGATGGCGAAAACTCTGCAGCTCGATGCACAAATCCCTCAACAAAAATGGGACCTTGTCTTCCGTGATATGGAGCAGGACAAAACCTCTCCTCCTAGCCTCAGTCTCATTCCTGCTCTGTTTGAGCTGGAAAAATCTTCTTGGGACAAACCTCCTACATTGGTACAGGTGTCACGCAAGCTTGAGCACCGCTATAAAACTCATGGTTCGGACTCTGACTTCCTGGCCAAGCATCCTTCACTCAATTCCATTGTGGTTGAAACTACCCAGTACAAATCCCGTACCAGATCATCAGTTACACCTGTCGACAAAGACGGAAAGAAATCAGACACCTTTGGGAAAAAGCTGTATTCGTTTGCCGCAATGTTG